GCGTGGGAAAAACAACATCAAGGCCTCTTTCGCATCAAATCCACATTTTGGTAAGTTTTTACAACCACATCTCAAGCTGCTTTGAATGGGAGCCAGTGGATAGAGAGGTGGAACCAACCCGCTCTGGCCAGCCAAGGTGGAAAGACTTCTCTCCTACAATATTTCAAGTACTTCACAGTCTCTTGGTCAGTTAGCTGTCAGCAGAGGCTTAAGACAACAAACTACATGTTAGACAGTATACTCTGGGGATTTTGACAGTTGCTGAGTAACATGCCCAAAGTGTCCCCAGTTAATAAAATCAACGCCCACTCCTCCTAACACCCTTCCTCCAATACACACACTCTCTTCTCTCTTTCTCTCTCTCTCTCTCTCAGTTAACCATTGTAGCTACCAGGAGACAAAAGGTTTCAGATGTGTCCATCAGATGAAATGTTTGATATCACAGGACGGCACAGAGCCAGAACAATCGGCTCCCCTTCGGCCAAAACTTTCCCATTAGTGTATCAGAAATGTGCCGGCTCTGGTTGCAGAATAAGTAAACAGGACATAATGGGTTTTCAATAAATGCTCCCGAGCCAGACTCTGAGTCTATTTGGAGAGGTTTATTTGACACGTGGAGCCTGCTGGGGGAATTGAGGACAGAAAGGTAAGAGGAGTTGAAGTTCACCAGTGGAAACGGGCACGTGGGGGTGGGTTGCAACCCACACGCAACTGTGAAGAGGTGAGACTGTTCAAATTGGAACAGCCCAAGAAGCCAGGACAGCACCTTTGTCTGAAACATCCAGGCTGTCAGAATAATTAGAATTTTAGAGGGAGATGAGACTTTTTTTTCTCCTGACTTTGTTTTGTTTTTCTTTTTCATTTGGGGGAGGACCTGAGATTTTGTTTTTGTTTTGTCTTGTTTTGTTTTAGGAGCTCTGAAGCTAAGTATAGCGAAGGATCTAAAAATCACACACCTGGTCTCAGCAGAACTTAACTACAGAGCTCTTTCTCTCTCTCTCTCTCTCAGTTAACCATTGTAGCTACCAGGAGACAAAAGGTTTCAGATGTGTCCATCAGATGAAATGTTTGATATCACAGGACGGCACAGAGCCAGAACAATCGGCTCCCCTTCGGCCAAAACTTTCCCATTAGTGTATCAGAAATGTGCCGGCTCTGGTTGCAGAATAAGTAAACAGGACATAATGGGTTTTCAATAAATGCTCCCGAGCCAGACTCTGAGTCTATTTGGAGAGGTTTATTTGACACGTGGAGCCTGCTGGGGGAATTGAGGACAGAAAGGTAAGAGGAGTTGAAGTTCACCAGTGGAAACGGACACGTGGGGGTGGGTTGCAACCCACACGCAACTGTGAAGAGGTGAGACTGTTCAAATTGGAACAGCCCAAGAAGCCAGGACAGCACCTTTGTCTGAAACATCCAGGCTGTCAGAATAATTAGAATTTTAGAGGGAGATGAGACTTTTTTTTCTCCTGACTTTGTTTTGTTTTTCTTTTTCATTTGGGGGAGGACCTGAGATTTTGTTTTTGTTTTGTCTTGTTTTGTTTTAGGAGCTCTGAAGCTAAGTATAGCGAAGGATCTAAAAATCACACACCTGGTCTCAGCAGAACTTAACTACAGAGCTCTCAATTTCCAGTCCCGAGTGTTTTCTAATTTATTTTGTCCCTTCATTTCTCTGCTATGTACATAGCCCTGGGGTGCAATTAAATTTGGGATCAAGAAAAAAATATGTACGAAATTAGTTTTGTCGTGACTGAATGTCTTCTTGATTTTAACAAAAATTAATTAAGTTACCTATTCCATTGTGCCATGGAACTTATTTTAACTTAGACTTCTTTTTTTTTTTTTTTTTTTTTGTGAGAAAGAGAGATTTTTCCTATAGGACGCATGTGTTCAACAGAGAGACAGAAAGCGAAAAATCACCCTCAGGGTGATGACCACATCACAATTCCTTCTCTTCCATTCTCTCAGAATCTTGGGTACACATGCACACGTGCCAGCATGAGTTTTAACCCCCGGGTCTGGGATGTGAACCACAGTTGACTACATGGGAGTCCAGTGACATAACTATTACGCCATCTGCTGGGCCCCCAGTCTAGACTTCTTTAAGACATGGAAGGCAGGGAGCCAGCATGTGGCATGGTGATTAAAGACTCTGGACTCCCACGTGGCTGACCATGGTTCGAGTCTCAGATCTGGCAGCTTGCTTTCTCACTTTCTCTCTCTCTCTGTCTTTCTCTGGTCAAATTAAAACAAATAATAATAATTAATAAAGTTAAAGTAATTCTTTAAGAAAAAAGACACGGAAGGCAGAACGACTAGGAACAAGAGACTTTATCCTCAGACAAAACGTGGGGTCCCCTCCTCTAAAGCCCAGATGAGCTGTAGAACAGACTATCCTTGGAGACTTTGGCTGGTCTTCCTGCTCCCCGGGTATTAAGGCTCCTCTAACGAGTTAATAAAATAATCAGCAGAAGGCTGTCACCTTGGGAATACAATCCAAACATTGTTTCCTAGTGCCTGCGTGTCTTGGGTCAGGTTCCCTAGAAGCAGGGCCTAAGATCAGGATCCTGGTACACACGGTTTATTGTGGGAATGAATCATGCTCTTCAGGAAAAATGTGGGAGTCTATTCGTGTTTTAGGGCTGGCTACCAAAATACCTCAGACTGACTCCCTTCAGCAGTGGGAATTTATTTTCTCACAGTCCCAGAGGGTAGAAACCTGAGAGCACGGTGTCTACAGGCTTCGTTCCCCTGAGTCCGCTCGCTTTTTTCGTTCTTTTCTTTCTTGCCTTCTTTCTTCGCTGCTTTTTGCAATTTGCCAGGAGAGGGACCAGCAGATGGCATAATGGTTATGTCACTGGACTCACACGTAGTTGACTGCGGGTCAAGTCCTGGACCCAGCGGTTTAAAACTGATGCCAGGTGCATGTGCAAGAGTGTCCAAAATCCAAAGAGGAGAATGGAGGAGAAGGGACTGTGGTGTGGCCATCTCCTCGGGTGGGAGGGATATTTCTTGCTTTCTATCTCCCTGTCTCTCTCTGTCTCCCTGGCAAGCACATGAACCCTTTAGCAAAAATCTCTCTTAAAAATAAATTTGCCTGAAGGTGCATACACTTGTCAGAGGTGAAGAGCGTAAAAAAGCATCCACCATGGGATTGTCATGAAGCAACCCCTTCTCCTCCATCTCTCCCTCCTTTTGGCAATTTGGGCACACATGCACACACATCTGGCATGTTTTCTAAGACAACAGGTCCAGGATTTGAACTGTTGCGTCTGCCTTGACCACTAAGCCACAGGCCAGACCACTGAGGGGTCTCTCCTCAGCTTGTGGCTGGCCCCCTTCCTGCCATGTCCTCACATGGGCTCTCTTCTGTGCACGTGCACCCTGGTGTCTCTCTGTGTGCCCTCATCTCCTCTCCTTATAAGGACATCAGTGAGATCGAATTAAGGCCCATCCTGACAGCACATTCTAACTTAATGACCTCATTTAAGGCCCTACCTCCAAATAGACTCGAATTCGTATTTGGGGGTTGGGGGTTTGGACTTTAATAATACACTGGGGGGAGATAACTCAGCCCTCAACAGAATGAAAAGAGGACAAAGACATGGAAGGAAGGGAGGAGGAAGTGGTCTCCAGGAAAGTCCAGTCTTGGCCTGGTCCACAGGTGATGGAGACAGGGGTGACTGCACCACAGAGTTGTCTCTCCCTGAAGCACAGAGGTTGGTCTCTCTAACATGACATTTGTTCACTAGCAAGCCCCAAAGCCTGTGTGCTAGAGTGAGAGGGATCTTGGAGAGCCTACCCAGACATCTCCAGGCAGGACAGCTGCTGGGAGTCCAGAGCACTTTCCAAGAGGGTCACACAGGTGTGAGCCACTCAAGCAACTGGGGAACAGCCACCAGCACAAAGAGGGTAGGATGAGGCACCATCACTAGCCACAATGCGGGCTTCCTCAGCCCCTCGGCAAGCTACTGAAGCTTACCAGTCCTCTGTCTCCAAACAGTTATAAACACAGGGCACAGGAGAGCCACAGTGGAAAGGTCAGGGACATTTGCTGAGGGAGGCACAGGCCAGACCCCTCCCAGCCCACTTGCCCAAGCCCAAGCCCTTGACTTCCAGTCGGTTACTGCATCTATCAGCCCTGCCTCTCCATTAGCTTTCAAATCCATGTTCTCTCCATTCTCACTGCACTTACCTTAGTCCCGAGATCCTTCACTTCTTACCCCATTAGTAACGAAGTTCTTTTCAGATCTCTCTGCCTCTAGCCTATATCCACCCAACTGGGTCTCACACAGCAGCCAAATATGAGCAATTCACCTCCCACTTAACATCCTCCAATGGTCTCCCTTTACTCTGCGTGTATGTGTATGAAGAGTGTGTGTATGGATGGGAAGAGAAAGAGGAAAAGAAAGAGGTAGTTCTGTTAGGTTTTTCACCATGTCACAATCCTTCCTACATCAACCTCCCTGTCAGCTAGACCCAGGTTGTTTGGGTTGAACTGGGAACTGAACCCAAGCCCTGTGCAACTTCAGCCTTTCCTCTTGCACCACTATGGCTGGATCTAACCTTCTTTTACTCATTTTAAAAAAATTTTTTATTAATACATAATAATTATACATATTTGTGAGGATACAATGTGATTTTACAGCATAAGAATACAAGTTGCAGTAATGCATTCAGGATCCTTGGTAGACCACCCTCTCAAACCATTGGTCAATATTGTGTTGAGAACATTAACAATCCTCCCTTTTAGTTACTTTGAGATACACAGCAACTTGTTGCTGTCCATATTCACACCACTATATTTTATAATACTAAAAACTGCAATTCCTGTTATTTGTGGTTTACTTTCTTTAATCTACATTCCTCCACTCGTCACCACCTCAGTCCTACCCAGTGTCTAGAAGTTAGTCTTCTTCCCTCTATGAGGCCAGGTTTTTTTCAATTTCCACAAATGAGGGAGAACATGTAGTATTTCTCTTTCTGCACTTGGCTTGTTAAAAAATATGGACTGCTTCACAAATTTGCATGCCATCCTTGCACATGGACCATGCTAATCTTCTCTGTGTTTTTCCAATTTTAGTGAATAGTGAGTACCTTCCTTTTACCATTAAGGTAAAGTCCACTGATGGGGCCCTCCCTAATACAATCTGCTATGATTTGAATGTTTCCTCCCAAATTCAAGTGTTGGAAATATAATTCACAGTGCAATAGTATTGAGAGGTGAAACTTTTAAGAGGTGGGATCCTTCAAAAACATTATGAATGGATTAATGTCATGACCCTGGGAGTGGTTGGTTATCATAGCAGTGGACTCATGATAAAAGGCTGAGCCCTTCTGCCTTCATCCATGAGATGGTACAGCACAAAGGCCCTTGACAGATGCTGGTGCCATGGCCTTGGAGTTCCCAGCCTCCAGAACTGTAAGCCAAACACTCTTATTGTTTAACTTCCTAGTCTTAGGCATTTTGCTGTAGCAGCAGCAAATAGACTAATGCACAGTCTAACTTCTGCCTTAGTTCTTACCACCATGTTCTTAGCATCCCAACCACATTCAGCTTTTTGCTCTTGAAATTGGGTCTTCCTTTCTCCATGTACCCTAAGCTCTGCCAATACCTACCCATACCCCAGGCCCTCAGATGTAGCTCATAGGTTGCTTTGTCTGCCTCACTTCCTCCACATCCAGTTTGTTGCATCAGCTGCATGATCCCCTGCTCTGTAACCCACAACACTTTATTGCAGTTGGTCATTTAATGTTTTCTTCCTTATTAAGTTGTCAGCTTTCTGAAGGCAAAGACTAAATCTATCATGAGCTGTTATCCCTCTACTTCATGTCTCTGCTTACAGCTACTTAGTTGTGTGTGAGGCTGGGCTATGTTAACCTCTCTGTATCTCACTTTATTCATCTGTAAAATGTGAATAACACAACCTTATAGACTGGAGGATACACTATTATATGTATGATTCACCTACATGAGGGTTAGCTACTATGATTTCTATTGCTAGTGGGCATAAGTAGGCACAGAGGAAAAGTTAGTATCTCTAATACCAAGCAGAGTGCTGGATAAGATGAAAAAAACAAAAGGTGCTGGGGGCCCCATGGTTTGAGTCCTGGACCCAATGACTTGAAAATCATGCCAGACACCTGAGCATGCATGCTCGAAATCCTTAGAAAAGATTGTAGAAGAGATTGTGGCATGGCCATCCTGTCTGGGGATGATGAGGTAGTGATTTCTTTCTTACTTTCCCTCTCTGTTTCTTTCTGTCTCTCTTTCCGGCGAGTACATGCACTCTATGGCAAAAATATAAAGAAGAAAACAAACCCCCCAAAAAACACCACAAAACCCTGGAAGGTTCTAGAAGTAACCTGAGAGCCAGTTTGGGTTAATAACAGTATTATTGCTCCTAATACTTTTGCATGGTGAAACCAGCAGCATGTATGATCCCAGTTTCGGTCTTAATCTCTGACTTCACTGGCCGCCAAGGTAAATATTTAAAATTAGTTTACAGTCAACACTGACGGAGCAGGTTAATATTAGATATGGGGAAAACAAAAGTCCTCTCATCAAAAGAGGTGATTACGTTACAATGAACCACAATAGTTATACTTGATGTTAATTATTTCACAAGGTTAAAAAAAAAAAAAAAAAAGACCTGGAAATAGTTGGTCATTTTTATGAACTCTTTGCCCAACTGGCTGTGATATTAAATAAAAGGCAGCCAACAGGAAATGGGGCCATATAATTGCATCTTTCTCATGAACTGGTAATGCTGCTCCAGCTGCCTGTGACCATTCTCTTCAACACCCCACCACCTTGGAACCAGCTGGGTTCTGCTGAATCACCAGGTTCCTGGCTTTCCTGGAGGGAAGGCTCCCAGCAGAACCAGCACTTTCTTCTCTGAGGCTCTTCTACTCTTTCTTGTTCTCCCCGTTTTCTGCAGAGCCCACCTGCCCTCCTACACAGAGCCCGTGAGATAACCTTGGCCAAGATGCCAGTCAGCAGATGATTAACACATCCTTTACACAGAACAGTCTGGGCCATGAGTCCACAGACTTAGAGCATTTCAGAGCTGGACACCAAACCACTTCCTTTCCATCAATGCAAGACAGAAATAACCATGGTGAGAGACTTTTTAAATACCATTCCACATGCTTCCTATTGTTCTCAGTGTTGTTGCTACGCATCTCATTTCTTCCTCTGCCTTCAACCACCCTCTTTCCCCGCTCTGGTTTTTTTTTTTTTTTTTTTTTTCTTCTCCCTCCCAGTCTAGTCTGAGTTCTGACCTCATTTCCTGTTTCCTCACTAAGGCTATGATGCCATATGAACACCTAGCCATAAAAGAGTAGAGGAATCAGACCCCACTGAACAAGGCTGCCCACCCTGGGAACACGTTCTGGAGAATTCTGCCATTCACCCGATGCTCACAGACACCAACACATGAGTCATCAATGAGACACTGTTGCTGCTGCCCTTCTTGCCAAGCCTCCCTTAAAAAAAGAGGAAATGGCCTCTGACACTGGGATGCATGAACAAGAGTTCAAGAGTGCCCTACACAGCACAAAGCATGAGAACTTCTGCCTCGGACTTCCGCCCTGGGTATGGGATGTTGGTCTCATGTTTGGTTTCAAACCTCAAATCCAAAGAAAAATGCCACTCGAAGTATGATTTGTAGGGAGCAATATAAAGGCTGATTCAGAAGGGAAAACAAAGGCCAAATGGTACTATTGCTAAAAGACTTCTGTAATTTTTAAAATAATTATAATTTTTAAAATGGAATATTTTGGCAATTGAGAAGATGGAAATGAAGAGGGCTCCATGGCTCTTGAAGAACACAAAGCAATATTATGGAAGAAAGGAGATCAATTAGCCACATTGGCCAATAAAGCTAGAATGAGATGTAATTAAGTTAATTCAAAGACAAGTTTGATTAAAGATTACAAAAAAGCCTCTCTAATTATGAAGAAAGGAAAGAACACTCTTGAGCAAGACTGCTAAAGGAGGTTATACATTTGTTAACTCTGCACAGTGAAATGAGAAACCCAACAATTAGAGATGGTTAGGACAAAACAACAGCTTTGCAACAATGGCCAAGAGCCATGCTCCAGCTGAAAAGATCTATGACCCAGCTTTAAAATGTTTAGCCACATTCTTTCTAGCTGTATCAGTACCATGAGTGGAATATACATGGGGAGGCCAACACTCAACCTAATCAAGAGGGAGCAAAACTAATCAAGGAAAAAGAATCCTGAAGTGTTGTTTCCCTAAGCGTTGATTCTCAGGGTGCCAAAGAAGATATGCTAATAATTTATTCAATGAAGTTGTCTATGAAAAAAAATATGACCTTGGCAAGTTGAAAATGAAAAGAACTATAAAACCCATGTAAGGTTAAAATCTATTTTTCCAGACCAGTTCCATGTCCTGGTGGTAATGGCAGCTGGACTCTATATGGCCGACAGACTCCATATGGCCAACTGCACATTCAAGTCCCAGCCAGCCCCAGTGACTTGAGAAATACATGTGGGGTGGAAGGGGGTGCCCAAAATCTCAAAAGGAAGAAAAGATGGAGAAGAAATTGCAGCGTGATTAAGCCTTACAAAGGGGTGTTTTCTCAGCTGCCTCTGTCTCTGGTGAGTGTGCATGCTCTCTAGAAAAAAAAATTTTTTTTTCTGTTTATTCTTATTCTACTAGCAATCTAGAATTCTAGAAAATGAAAGAATTCATTTTCATTGATTATTCAGAAAAAGTTGGGGGTGGGACTGTGGCACAGCAGTAAAATGTAACAATCTGCAAGGCTGACTGCATGGAAAGGTTTATGCTCAGCATTTGGAGACCTCCCTGCATATACCAGGGATGTGCATACAGGGCTGACTAGAGATAGGGGCGGATCATGGTATCGGGAAGCTATTGGAAATGTCTCTCTCACTCATGAAAGAAAGAGAGAAATTTTTAAAATGTTTTTTAAAGAAAATGATAGCATTCAGAATTGACACATTGAACCCTATTTCTTCTTCTTTCTTTCTTTTTTTTAAAATGTTCTTGCTGATGGGGGGAGAACACACTGCATCCTCTAGAGGGAGAACTCTTTTTTTTTTTTTTTTTTTTGGGGGTTTTTTTTGCTAAAGGGGGGGGGCCCTTAACACGAGACCACGGTCTTCTACTCTTTCTTGTTCTCCCCGTTTTCTGCAGAGCCCACCTGCCCTCCTACACAGAGCCCGTGAGATAACCTTGGCCAAGATGCCAGTCAGCAGATGATTAACACATCCTTTACACAGAACAGTCTGGGCCATGAGTCCACAGACTTAGAGCATTTCAGAGCTGGACACCAAACCACTTCCTTTCCATCAATGCAAGACAGAAATAACCATGGTGAGAGACTTTTTAAATACCATTCCACATGCTTCCTATTGTTCTCAGTGTTGTTGCTACGCATCTCATTTCTTCCTCTGCCTTCAACCACCCTCTTTCCCCGCTCTGGTTTTTTTTTTTTTTTTTTTTTTTTTTTTCTTTTCTCCCCCCCCGTCTACCCTGACGTGTA